CCACGGAGGACTGGGGCTGGGCTGGAAGAGAAGGGTGCACAGTGTCCTCACCCAGCTGAATGGAGTGTGACCGTCACTGCCTCCCTCATCCTCCTTTTGCCCCTTGAGGCTGGGACCACTGAGCGACCTCCCATCTTTTGGGTCAGTGAGTGCAAGAGAGGCTGCTCCTATCCGTTTCTGGGCTGTCCCTGCATAAGATAAAGGGGATGTGGGCCCAGAGGTGGCAGCCTGATTAGTCACTGAGTGTTTGTGTAAATCCACCAAACCAGCAAGGGGCTACTTAACCCCTTTCCCTCTCACACCAGTGTGCCAGAGGCGCTTGGGGGACTCTGTCCTCCCACCTGCACCAGCAGAAGATCAATAACCCCTTTAGAAATGACACTTACCCAGCCTCTGTTTCCTTCTCCCCCTGCCTCCCTCTCCCTTCTCCCGCTGCAGACGGCTCCGTTCACTGGCAGAGGCCTGGGAAGCAGCCTGAGGCCGATCTCCCCTTCTATCACCCCCGGGCTCCCTCTGCTGAGGTGGAGATGACGTCCTACGTGCTCCTGGCTTACCTCACCGTGCGGCCGGAACTGTCCCGGGATGACCTGTCGTCGGCAGCTCAAATCACAAAGTGGATCAGCAAGCAGCAGAATCCCAACGGGGGCTTTTCCTCCACCCAGGTGAGCCGTTCCCCTCCCCAGCCCAGGCACCAAGGGCAGGAAGGGGTGACAGGCACGTACGTCAGACTGACAAAGAAGTCCCATATTTCCCAGGATTGGAAGAGGAGGGAGTGGGGGGGCAGTGCCCGTTTAGAGAACCTCTGTTTCTAAAGGGGTTTAGCTTACGGGATCATCACAGCATGGAGCACGGTCACATCAGATCCCTCAGGTCCTGGGGGGCTAATGAGGTAGCTGTGAGAGGGCCTAAGCCTTCACCCTCCCACCTCGCACACACCAGTGTGCCAGAGGCACTTGGGGGACTCTGTCCTCCCACCTGCACCAGCAGAAGATCAATAACCCCTTTAGAAATGACACTTACCCAGCCTCTGTTTCCTTCTCCCCCTGCCTCCCTCTCCCTTCTCCCGCTGCAGACGGCTCCGTTCACTGGCAGAGGCCTGGGAAGCAGCCTGAGGCCGATCTCCCCTTCTATCACCCCCGGGCTCCCTCTGCTGAGGTGGAGATGACGTCCTACGTGCTCCTGGCTTACCTCACCGTGCGGCCGGAAGCCGGAACCGTCCCAGGGTGACCTGTCGTCAGCCGCTCAAATCACAAAGTGGATCAGCAAACAGCAGAATCCCAACGGAGGCTTTTCCTCCACCCAGGTGAGCCGTTCCCCTCCCGAGCCCAGGCACCAAGGGCAAGGGTGAGAAGCAGACAGGACAGGGCAGGAGACAGACAAGTGACCCGGGAGGAGGGAAAGGCAGCCCCGCAGAGAGGGTGTGTGTGCAGTCTCCTCACCATATGGATTAAATCATGGGATAGTTATAGCATGGAGCACAGTTCCATCTGATCCCTACAGGCACAAAGAGCTAATGAAGCTAGAAACAGGATGAATGTTGCTCCTATATATGGATTGCAAATGAGTCACCTTGAGCCCCACAAGTGCAATGCCATTCCCAGCTCCCCAGCACTGACCCCATCCAGACCAGCCAATCCAGCTCAGGAGCTGAGGTTCCCTCAGAGAAGCAGCAGCAGCCAGCCACTGCTGGACATGCCTGGTGGGAGAGAGGATAGAACCATCCCGAGTGACACTGAACAGCAGGTGCCACCTTCCCGTAGGAGCTGGTCCAGGCCATGCTAATGTTCTGAGGCAAGGACTTCTGGGAGTGACCTCTGTATGCTACCTTGGTTAGGTTGATACCCCAAGGGCTGTAAGACTTTCTCAAACTCCATTGCTAAGCCTCCTGCCTGTCTCGCCATGGTCCTTTCTGAGCCACAGGCAGCTCCTATTCCACTTGGGCTGTCTGCAGCATGTCTTCAAGGGAGAGAGGGTGGCATCTTCTCCCAGCTCTTGTCAATGAAGCGTCAGGGATACCAGGTCCCTAGGGTTCCCTAAGGTATTTAGACATCTGGCAGCTTTCAATAGACGATAGGTGCCTAAATATCTTGGAGGATTGGGGCCAAAGTGACTGAGGAGCATAGTGTGTGCTGGTGAAGGGGGAGAATGGGTAGAAATGGGAAAGCCAACCTTTCTGTCTCCCTTCTACACCTCAGCAAGGCACTGCTGTATGGGAGGATTTGGAGGGATGGAAACTCCAGGCCCGTGGGAATGGCTAATTCATCTCCTTGGGCACCTGGGCCCATCTCCTCTCTGGCAGGACACGGTGGTGGCGCTCCAGGCCTTGTCCAAATACGGAGCCTCAACCTACGCCCAGAGTGGAGGAGCCTCCACAGTGACCCTGCAATCCACAGGGAACTTCCAGACCCAGTTCCAGGTGGATCACACCAACCGTCTTCTGCTCCAGCGTGTGGCACTGCCAGAAGTGCCAGGGGACTACAGCATGGGGGTAACAGGAGAAGGGTGTGTCTACATGCAGGTGAGGGGCCTTGGGTCATGGGGAGAGGCTGCTGCTGAGGGGAGCCAATCTCATTCCATGGAGAGGGCAGGGTGGGGTGGTTTGGGGAGGAGAGAGGAAGGGAGGAGAGGGGAGCAAAAGAGAGGAAGAGGTGAAGGACAGGAGGAGAAAATAAAGAAGAGGTGAGAGGAAGAAAGAGACTGGACAGAGAGCATTGGGGACTGGGGAGAGAGAGAAAGGGGATAAAGAAAGAATGGAACTGAGCTGAGTGAAGGAGACAGAGGAGAAGAGATGGATACACAGAACTGTGCATTCTCTTTCAGACCAGCCTCAAGTACAATGTGCTCCCCAAGCCAGACGAGGCGCCGTTCACACTGGAAGTGCACACGGTCCCCCAGACGTGTGACAGCCCCAGGGCCCACAAGACTTTTGACATCGCCATAAACATCAGGTAACTCTCCTTGCAGGGCCAGGCCTTCCAGAGCAGCTATAGGGCTGGGGACGAGCTGCTCCTGGAGTCCCCAGAAATGAGGGGAGCCACCAAAAAAACATATTTTTCTAACAACTAAAACTGGGGATTTTTTTACTTTAAATTGTGATAATTTGTAATCGCAATTGCTCTTTTCAGTGACTGATTTTTGTATTTCTGTGTTACCAGCTCTTTACACTCCTACCCCTAAATTAGTAGAAATATTGTCTTGTGCTTTTTTCTTTGAGTCTGGAAACCACAAGTCAGCACATGCATAATAGCCTTTGTGTGAGAGCAACACTAATTCAGATACAAGACAGGCAGGCCAGTCCCTGTCCTATATCTGCAGCCGCCACCACCATCCCACAGAGCGAACTGTCCCCAGTCACAGGAGCTGAATACTTTGACCCGGCCATTTTTCTTCTTCAGAATTTGCAAATGGAGTTCAGTTCGACTTGTCTTCCAATATCACTTGGGTGATTTTACAAAGCCCACCCTTAGATGGCCAAATATGGCTTAGGAGGTTTAAGGACATTTCTATGCTTAACATGCTGCAAGGTGCAACTGCTCCGCTGTAGCACATTAATGAAGACACTCCATGTCAATGGTAAATAGCTTTCCTCTTGACATAGTTAATCCACCTCCCTGATAGGAGTAGCTATATTGACGGAAGTAGCTAACCTGTCGACACTGCACTGTCTATAGAGGGGTTAGGCTGGTATAACTACAGTTTGTGGTGTAGATTTTCATACCCCTTAACAACAAAGTTAGAAGGTAAGAACATAACAGCCATGCTGGGTAAAATAAATAATCCATTCAGTCCAATATTTTGTCTTCTGGTAGTGGCCAATGCCAGGTGCTTCAGAGAAAATGAACCCAGCAGGTAATACAAGTGACCTGCCCATACCCAGATTCTGTCAAACAAAGGGTAGTGACATCATCCCTATCCATGCAGGCTAATAGCCAAGGCTCGCCAAGCCAGTCTCGCCAGCTGCGCGCTACCACGTGCTGCGCATGCGCCACAGGCGAGTAGATTACGTTAATTGTCGAGCCCTGCTCATAGCCATTGATGGCCCTATCCTCCATGAATTTATCTAGGTCTGTTTTGAACCCTCTTAAAGTCTTGGCCTTCCCAACATCTCTGACAAGGAGTTCCACAGGTTCACTGTGTGTTGTGGGAAGAAATACTTCTTTTGTTTCTTTGAAACTTTGTTCTTGTATTATGGGAACAAGTAAATAACTTTTCCCTATTTACTTTCTCCACACCAATCATGATTTTATAGCCCTCTATCATATCCCCCATTAGTTTTCCAAGCTGAAAAGTCCCCATCTTATTAATTTCTCCTCATATGGAAGCTGTTTTATGCCCGTTTTGATGCCCTTTTCTACACTTTTTCTAAATCCAATATCTGTTTTGAGATGGGATGATCACTTCTGTATGCACTATCAAGACGTAGGCATATTGGATGGATTTATATAGAGGCAATATAAATATTTCTCTTATTATTTATGAGTCCCTACAGTCTGCCAGCTGCTGTTGCACATTCAGTGGAGTTACAGTGATATAAGGTCAGTAGAGTAGACCAGACATATCTTTCAGCTCCTTTTGATTTGAAAGTTTATTTAAAAAAAACCCTCACAATTGCTACTGAGATAACTTTCCAGTGCTAGCACTAAACCAGTTTGGATCTGAAGTGACAGAGATTTTACACCAACACTGGAAAAAATGTTAATGGATAAAATTTTGGGCCCTGATGCTGCAAACACTTGTGCACATGCTCAGCTTTCCCCATCTGTGAGTGGAGCTAGGTACTGTAAGCAGAAAGGTTTGCAAATTCAGAAGAGAATCCAGTAGGCTAACCCCTTTTGTTAGGTCCAGGGAGCATTGCCTTACTAGTTCCAGTGCTGGGTTGGTTTTAGGTCAGCTTTTAACTTGTCCCAATTTGAGAAATACTGTTCACTTGCTTATTTTAAACCACATGACAATGTATTCATTCATCCACAGCCATATTAATGTACAACCAGTAATTCAACAGTCCAATGTAGACACAGCCAATTGTGTGTCCTGCCAGCAGCATCACAGACTAGAGTTAAGCTAAGCCATTAGATCAAAGAAAAATGCAAACTGCTAAGATGCTCATACATTTACTTATGATCTCAATTCTCAGTAACATATTGATCACAGTTCCAAGGATGTGCTTATCTTTAAGGCTCTTTTAAGAGTATGGCTATTACTCTTCAACGGGATTGGTCCAAAGGAATAAGTTTTGAATATTACAAACAGTTGCTTAAAACAATTCTTTTTCAAATTGTCTTAGGGCAGTGGTCCCCAATGTGGTGCCCGCGGGCGCCATGGCACCCGCCGGGGCATTTATGTGCACCTGCCTAGTGCCGCCCCCGGGAGTGCGCGGCCCCTGCCCCCGGCGCCCCACGCATGCATGGGTGGCCCTGCCCCAGGCGTGTGGCTCCACACCCGGGCAGCCCAGCAGCCCTGCGCAGAGCCCGCCACCCAAAAAGGTTGGGGAACACTGTCTTAGGGCAACTTGCTTGAACGTATAAGAGTTAAAATCTAAAATGTGGTTGTATAATGCCTCACTAGAGTGTCTAGATTCAGCAACATAACCTTCAGTTATTTATATTAAATAATAGAAGAAGTACAGTCTCTGAAATGTAATCTCTCCCATTCTTCTTATCCTCTTAACTCTGGAATAGGGGAGAGGCTTTCCCCACAGCTGGTGCAATGGTTGGTTGTACTTAGGGTCCTGCAGCTTCTTATGTTGGATTCAGTCCACTCTCCTGAGCACATGGTCACTTCAGACTTAGCTTTAGGGCTCATAAGAGGTGGGCCAGCAGCATCTTATTCCTATTGGACACATGCCCAGTGAATGCATAAATTTTAAATTGTTTCAATTTGCTTGCTGCTTCCATTGGTATTTCATTTCTAGCCCCCAGTATTAATTTGGATCCCCCCTTAAGTAATTTCTATCATTATCACAAAGTTATACCCGGTTTTATAGCTTTTAACATTTCTTCTTTCATGTGACAGACAATTCCTATTAATGTTAGACCACAACAATAATTTACAATGAAAACCAACAAAATCCCTTATATTCTTCTAAATTTGGAGGGACATTCTCCACACGTTCTTATATTATACATAAACATTTCATGTTATGCGTTAAAACAAGAGATTTTCCACATACAGCATATTTGACATTAATCACGACTCAAAATTGTCAACTAGGCTCAGATGAAATCATTTCATCAAAAATTAATACATCTTCGTGCAGAGTACAAAAAGGAGATATACTTTATCATCCTTATAAATGGTGAAGAGAAGGTAGTTTGGTCATAAGAAGATAAGAACAGCCATACAGGGCCAGACCAATGTCCATCTAGCGCTGTATCCGGTCTTCCAACGCTGGCTGTTGCCAGATGCATCTGTCATCCAGCTCCACTTTCTGAGAGTCAGAGGTTTAGGACACTTAGAGCATGATGTTGCATATTTGACCATCTTCACTAATAGCCACTGGTAAATCTATCGTCCATGAGTTTATAGATTTTTTTTTAACTTTTGGCTTCTGCAATATTTCCTGGCAATGTATCCCACATATTGGTAGTGCATTATTTGAAGTACTTCCTCAAGTTTGTTTAAAACTTGCTGCCCATTAATTTCATTTAATCCTTTTTCATTCTCTCCACACCGTTCATGATCTTATAGACCTCTGTCATGTCCCTAGAGGTAGAACCCAAGGGTATGTCTAGACTGCACCCCTCTGTCGGCAGAGGGATGCAGATTAGTCAGGTCGACAGTGCAAATGAGGCAGGGATTTAAATATCCCATGCCTAATTTGCATAAAAATGGCCACTGCATTTTGCTGACTCAGCACTTTGTTGGCAAAAAGCGGCAGTCTAGAGGGGGATCTGTTGAGAAAGAAAGCCTTTTTCGACAGATCCCTTATGCCTTCTGCAAGGAGGTTTACAGGATCTGTTGAAAAAGGCTTTCTTTCTCAACAGATCCCCCTCTAGACTGCCGCTTTTTGTCGACAAAGTGCTGAGTCGGCAAAATGCAGTGGCCATTTTTATGCAAATTAGGCATGGGATATTTAAATCCCTGCCTCATTTGCAATGTCGACCTGCCTAATCTGCATCCCTCTGCCGACAGAGGGATGCAGTCTAGACATATCCCAAGAGTCCTGACAGCATCTCCCTGTCTCTCCTTGCACAGTTAGTAACAAAGTAAGAGTATATATTAAAATGTTAAGAATAACATTTAAGTGACTTGCCACAAGCTATCAGAACATTCTAATATTAGAGCTGCATGGTTCTAATGTTTATTTCATTTTCTTTCTTTTCTATACGGATTAGATACAGTGCTCTTGTCAGCTAATTGCTAAATTGCAAAAAAACCTACAATTTTCCAGTGCCTTGGTAGCCCTAGAAAGAGGTGATGTATGTGTATGGGGGGAGGGTGAATGGGATCATTCTCCTCCTCCCTCTCCCAATTTGCTGCTTGGCTGGTACTGAGCATGCTCAGTAACACTGCTGAAGTTGCTGTCCTCAATCTGCCCCCCCATGCTCTCACTCTCTTCCCCCCATTACAGTTTGCCCCCCCCCCCCCCCCCAGAATCTGAAACGGCACCGCTGGCTGCAAGGCAGGACTGAGAAGCACTGGCAGGGCTGTGGGGATCCCAGGGAGGGAATCGCAGGAGGATTGAACTGCAGTGCAAGAACTAAAGGTAGTGGCAAAGCAGGGAGCCAGGTACCAGGACTGGAGTAGCAGTAGCCAGGCAGAAAGGGGGGTTCTGCAGGCAGCTTTGTGCTGAGCTGTATTAAACCTTGTTTTGTATCCTGCTTGGTCTCCCAGCTACACAGGGAAACGTCCCGTCTCCAACATGGTCATCGTCGACGTTAAGATGCTGTCAGGATTCATCCCTGTGAAGCCATCAGTGAAGAAGGTAACATCCCATTCTGTGTATGGGCCCCTGCACCTCAGGGTCCCTTGCCTGCAATCAGCTCCAAACCCCAATCCTTCATTTTACTGGTCCCTCCGTACTCCCTTCATCAGCATCAGCCTTCTCCCCCTCCCCTGGCCACCTTGTCTCCCGTCTCTCTCATCCCCTCTCTTCTTCCAGCCCTCCCCGATGCCCCACTCGTCCCCTGCCCCATCCCATCCCCCTGAGCTCCCCCTCAGTAATCTCTTGTTATGCACAGAGCGGGCGAACCTGCCTGGAGACACCTCACATTCTCCCCTGCAGGGGGCAGCGCTCCTGTAAGGGGAGGTCAGGCTGAGTTCTCGGGGTGCTGGGCAGAGCAAGGAGCCCCCACCTCCCTGCACCCCTCTCCCCCCTGCAACTCCCTAGCCCATCCCAGGTCCTTCGTCTCCTCAGAGAGGCCCAGACGCTGGCCGGTGACCCTTCCAGGGCCTTGAGGTGGGATCCTAGCAGATTAATGACGCCTGAGGAGTAGAGAGCCCCATCCGCACTCACAGCATCAGCCCTCCCCTCTGGGGACAGGTCAGACATGAGCTGATTCTGCACTTGATAGAATCCCAGCTCCACAGGTCTCAAATTAGGACACATCCCCTCTCAGTCCATGCAGTTTGTGTTGCCTTAGTACAGATTAGCCTCTGCCCTTAAAGCACCAGTGAAGAATCACAGAGCTCCAGGATTGGGAGGGACTTGAAGGGCCCTCTGTGCAGAAGCAGGACCATGTAAACCAGCTGGTGTTTGTCTAACCTGTCCTTAAAAACCTCCAGTGCTGGGACTTCCACAGCCTCCCTCAGAAGCCTGTCCCAGTGCACTGGGAGAAGAATTGCTCACCGGGCTCTTTATAAGTGCCCTTAACAGTGCTCAGATCTGTTCTCAGATCCCACCTCAATCATCCTTTCTCAAGAATAAACACGCCCACTATTTATTTTTTCTACCAGGTCTTCTAAGCCTTTTACCCCTTTTGTTGCTGTTCTCTAGACTCGCTCCAGTTTCTCCACAGTTTTGCTAATGTGCTGAGCCTGGAAATGGACACAGTAGCCCAAATGAGGCCTCACCAAAGCCAAGCAGAGTTGTACAATCCCATACCATGTCTTAAATATGACACTCCTGGTAATACACCCCAGAATGAGTGTCATATTTTTTGGAAGTGCATCACTATCTATTCTATCTATTAGTCCTTTGGGCTCCTAATGGAGCATAGGGCCTCCACAATCATTCTCCATCTCTTGCAATCCTTAGCGATAGTCTTGATTTGGTCCCATGTTAAGCCAGCTGCTTTTACTTCATAGAATCATAGAATCATAGAATCATAGGACTGGAAGGGACCTCGAGAGGTCATCGAGTCCAGCCCCCTGCCCTCAAGGCAGGACCAAGCTCCGTCTACACCATCCCTGACAGATGTCTATCTAACCTGTTCTTAAATATCTCCAGAGAGGGAGATTCCACCACCTCCCTTGGCAATTTATTCCAATATTTGACCACCCCTAGATGGAGAGTTTGTACGCTTGCATTTTTTTTGCCACTTGTGCACATCTCTCTTGTTCTCTCAGCGTTCTTGCATTCCACATGCCAATCATCACGTGTTTCTTATGTGAAAGCAGATTACTCTCCAGGGGCATCTGGGATCGACTAAGGGTCATCGGCACGACAGCATCCTTCCGGGTTTGACTGTTGTACGTCATAAGCCTCCACTGAGGAAGCCCTTGGAATTCCCTGGACTGAAATGGTTTTGATTTTGAATGATGTAGAGGTTTCTGTAACATAATATATTTTTTTATGGGGATGAGTTGTTAGCCCATCACCCAATCCCCAACCTGGAGGATCAGGGAATCACTTTTTGTCTGGTCTCTATCCATCAACCTGTCCAGCCTGGCCCTACTAGGAGCAGTAAGATCCCGCCGGCATAGCTCTGAAGGTCCCTGAGATAAGCAAGCCCCCCACCACATCAAGGTAAAGATCCCATGGGAGGGGGGTGCATCACACTGTTAAGGAATATGAAATGTATGATTTTCTTTAACTCCCTGATCCTTTTCGGCGGTATTGCCACCTCCCCACATCCCCCCATTGTGCAGTCATGCATCGTGTCTTCTTTCCCAAGTGTAATACTGTGCACTTATCTGCATTGAACTTCATCTTGTTGCTTTCAGGCCAATTCTCTAATCTGGAAGGTTGTTTTGAGTTCTGACCCTATCCAAACTGCTTACAGATCTCCCCGCTTGGTGTCATCCACTGATTTTATAAGTACACTCTGCACTCCACTATTCATGTGAAATGATCATATTGAATAGTCCCAGACCCAGGACTAATGACTGCATACCCCCTTTAGATATACCCACCTGGTGTAACCGCAAACATCTGTGAATATGGTCTTTCCATGACTTCTGCCTCCACCTTACAGTAATTCCATCTAGACCACATTTCCCTGACTTTTCTGATGAGAATGTCATGTGGGACTGTGTCAGAGGCGTTATACAAGTCAAGATATATGTTGACTGCTGCTTCCCCAGTAATCCTCCCAGAGAAGAACATGAGGTTGGTCTGGAATGATTTGTTCTCCTTCAAGTCTTTGCTCATGTCCATTCCACTTAGGTGTGCACATGCCACATGCTCGGATTATTGGATTATCGGGCCAACAGGGGAGCCCCCTGGAGTGGCGCCTCTATATGGGTGCATATATACCCCTACTGGCCGCCCATGAAGGTTGTTGGAGCCCCTTCTCCCTTGTTTGTAAGCATGCTCTCATAAGTCTTCAGAGTTAGTTAGCACCTACTTGAATCCCTTTGTTCTTCTCCTGCTAAGTACCTGTTTAGATAGGGTTAGATAAGTTGCTTGGGTTTTGGCTCCGCTGTTGCTTCCCCTTCCCTCCCAGCCCACAGCGCACGCCAAGGCCTCACAGCTTTAAGCCCTGTGCTGCCTGTTCCAAGCATGCCCTGTGGCAACCCACACCATTTGTTCCTGAAGTGTCTGGGTAAGGCCCAAGTCCCAGCTAACTGCAGAATCTACCCTGGACCCAGCGCGACAGATTTGTGCTTGAAGATGGAGGGCGGCTGATGGAGTCAGCGCTTTGCCTGGCACCATCAGCGGACATGGCATTGGAGTCCCACAGCACACTGCCCTGGTGCAGGAGGCACCAGGGTCTTCAGGAGCCCTGTCGGTATTGAGGCGCACTGGTTCTGCGCAAGAAGAGAAGGGCAGGTCTCTTCCTCAGCATGCGCCTGCAGTGCACCCCCAGTCGGAGAACCCTGTCGCACCCATGCCGGCCATGAAGTCTGCTGCTCCTGGCCAGTCGAGTGTGACTAAGAGCCGCAGTGCAGTGTAGGAGCCGGTTCCGGTCAAAAGTCCCTCCATTCTAGGCATGTTTGACGCAGTGTGGGAATTGATCGAGCTGACTGCTGATTCGTCCTTGCCCCTTCCAGAGTGCTGCAGCCGGCCTCGGGCCCATGCCTCATCATCGGCTCCAAACCCAGGCAGGCCCACACTGCCCTCGGCCCCGGTGTCTTGTGTGGTGCTGCATTCCCCAGCGCTCACTTCTGCATCGACACCGATGGGTCCTTGAGTACTGGTAGCCCTGCTATTGCAGGGATACAGGAGAGTTCGGCATCTAGCATGCTCACCTCGGCAGCCCATTACATGGCAGCAGGGCACCTGATGTCCCCACTGCCAGTGGAGCACCCGGGGGTTTGGCATGTGGAGAGGCACCGATTCCCCAGGTCCAGCCTTAGCCCCACCCTGGCTGGAGTCCGATTACTCGTCGGATTCTGACGCAGAGTTGGTGTGGTCCAGAGCATCGCTGTCTCAT